CCCCCCTCCCTCCTGCCCCCCAACCCTCCCTGGTCTTCCCACTGCAGTTTGACAATCAGTTTGAGGCAGCTCTGCCTCTGTATCTATTATTGTTCAAAAGTTTGTAATGGTCTTTATTATCCATGAATGAGTGAGATCATGTGGTATTTTTCCTTCATTGACTGGCTTGTTTCACTTAGCATAATGCTCTCCAGTTCCATCCATGCTGTTGCAAATGGTAAGAGTTCCTTCTTTTTTACAGCAGCATAATATTCCATCGTGTAGATGTACCACAGTTTTCTAATCCATTCATCTACTGATGGGCACTTAGGCTGTTTCCAGATCTTAGCTATGGTGAATTGTGCTGCTATGAACATATGGGTGCACATATCCTTTCTGATTGGTGTTTCTGGTTTCTTGGGATATATTCCTAGAAGTAGGATCACAGGGTCAAATGGGAGTTCCATTTCCAGTAAAATGCTGTACTCTTAACTAGCTATTGTGGTTTGTGTCTCTCCACTCCCAGTCAGAAGACACCTGATACTGGAATTCTCATCTCTCCCCTTGTAAAAACCTTATATGGCATTCTCTGTCTTAGTGTTCTACCTCAAAGCTCAGAAAAGAGCACTAGCACAAACACAGGGAGATATCAAGTGTATGGGGGTGGGGTATAAGTCATTGAGGGAAACATTGAACAAGTTAACTACTTTGTAAAGAATCTTCCTCTAGGCTCACAATTGACATTTTTCTCCCTGAATTGGACAGCCACTTGAGGTTCTCATGGCCCAGTGTATACGGAATCTTCAGTGGGGTGAATATAAACTGTCAGCATTAATTTTTTTAAATGTATTTTATTGATTTTTACAGAAAGGAAGGGAGAGGGATAGAGAGTTAGAAACATTGATGAGAAACATCGATCAGCTGCCTCCTGCACACCCACTACTGGGGATATGCCTGCAACCAAGGTACATGCCCTTGACCGGAATCGAACCTGGGACCCTTGAGTCCGCAGGCCGACGATCTATCCACTGAGCCAAACCGGTCAGGGCAGCATAAATTTTTTTTATCTGTAAGCCCCGTTTAAATATTTTATTTATTGAAATGGCTGTCATAGCAGCTAACATATAGCACCTTTCTTTAGTTATGTATGTTAAACACTTTAGTCAAGGACTATTCCTTTGGGATAATGGAATATTATGTTACGAAAGTAACTAAATATCCAAATAAGTAGCCCACATTTTCATGTTGCATCAAAACTGTTTTTCGTCCTGGCCAGGTAGCTTAATTGGTTAGAGTGTCGTCCCAATATGCTAAGGTTGCAGATTCAATTCCCAGTCAGGGCACATACAAGAATCAACCAATGAATGTATAAGTAAGCAGAACAACAAATCCCTCTCAAAAAAATTTTTTTTTTCAAGTTTTTCAATCCAATGATTTCCAAGTAGGGCCCATAGATAGCTCCAGAGAATCATAAATTTATACAAAACCATCAAATTGGGCTCTCAGTTCTTATGGGCAGGCTCTGTAAACATGTGCTAATTCTACAAAGCTGAAGCTTTTTTTCAGAAATAGGTTTGTAGCCCACCAGTGGGCCATTAGCCATACTTTCACCATATAGTTAGATTGTGTAGCAGTAACCTACTAAGTATAAATTACTGGTCACTAAGATGTGGTCTTTATTATTCAAGTTCTCCTGGTTTGAATTCCATTTTACTGAGAATTCTGCCAGCCAAGGTCATGCACATGCACACAGATGCTCAGATTTAAGATGCTATTATCAGGGTTTTTTCAAGTTGGTTGAGGCTTTTGCTGTTTCTTGCAATTTTACCATTATTGTCATTGTTAGCAGTTGCTTAACCCTGCGGGGCAGATGATGGAATTCACAAGCAGAGTTACTGGTGATATAAATAGACCTTAAGAAAAATGTGATTCAAGTGAGTCATTCACACACCTATTAATGAAGCAGATGCACATTAATAAAAAGTACTTGCATGCCCTGGCTGGTTTGGCTCAATGGATAGAGCATCAGCCTGGGGACCGAAGGGTCCCAGGTTCGATTCCAATCAAGGGCACATGCCTGGGTTGTGGGCTCCATCCCCAATGGGGGGCATGCAGGAAGCAACTGATCAATGATTCTCTCTCATCATTGATGTTTCTCTCTCTCCCTTCCTCTGTGTAATCAATAAAAATGTTTTTTAAAAAGTACTTGCATTATGACATTTCATGGGCAATATGCTGCCTGTGAATTTGCTGTTCTCTTAAGCCTATTTTAATCAGGCTTTCTTTCCTACTAAACACTTTTTTTTTTTTTTTAAATTTACCATCTTACTTGACCAGTTCAAACAGGTAACCTTGTTGATTGCTTTTTCCTTCCTAAAACACTTTGTCCACTAGACTTCCAGAAGGCCACTCTCTTGGTTTTCCTATTTCAGGGGCAGTACCTTCTTCATCACCTTTGCTGGTTCATCATGCTGACCAATCTTTAAGTAGGAGGGCCAAGAACATCCTCACTCTCTAGGTAATCTCACTCAGTGTCCTGGCTTCAAGAGTCATGTATTGAAATCTTCAGGATCTGAAGGTCTCAGCTTAGACCTCTCCACTCTCCTCCCATGACAAATATGTCTGCCTACTCAATTCATTTGCATAAAGAATCTGGCATCTACCCTGGCCGGTGCACCCAGTGGTTAGAGCATCTGCTCATGCACGGAAGGGTTACAGGTTCAATTCCTGGCCTCAGTCGATGTGCACGCAGGAGGCAACCAATTGAAGTGTCTTTCTTACATCGATCTCTCTCTCTCCCCCCACCTCCCTCCTTCCCTTCCACTCTCTAAAAACCAATGGGAAAAGTATCTTTGGGTAAGGATTAACAACAAAAAGAACCAGGCACCTTGCCCTGGCCAGTGTGGGTCAGTTGGTTGGGCATCATCCCATGCACCAAAAGGATGTTGGTTCTATTCCCAGTCAGGACACATGTCCGTCCCAGTTGTAGGTTCAATCCCTGGCAAGAGGCGGCCCATGGATGTCCCGCTCTCACAATGGTATTTCCCTTTCTCTAAAAACCAATAAAAATATTCTTTAAAAAATACTCTAGGTTTCTCATACCCATTTTCCTCCCATCTCAATGTTTACTCCCTTCTTCCGGGTGCTCTCCCTCCTCATTCAACACCTGGGCAAATTCTGTTAATTTCCAAGGACTTTCACAACTACCACCCCAGAGGAAACTATTATCATCTCACCTAAAATCTTGCCTGGCTGGCATGGTTCAGTGTTGATCTATGAACCAGGAGATCACCATTCAATTCCTGGTCAGGGAACATGCCCAGGTTGTGGGCTCTATCTCTGGTGTGGGGTGTGCAGGAGGAAGCTGATCAATGATTCTCTCTCATCACTGATGTTTCTCACTCTCCCTCTGAAATCAATACAAATATATTAAAAATAAATTGTTTATAAAAATATATACACATATTTAATTTAAAAAAATACTGATATACCCGTGTTCTCTGCTTTTACCTACTACCCAGCAGCCATAACATGATCTTTCAGGTCAGATCATGTCACCCTTTTGCTCAAAGCCACCCTGTCTATGGCTTTCCTGCGTCATCTGGTTTCTTTCCCTGTATATCCACTTCTCCATAACTTCTTTTGCCACCTTATGTCCAACATACTGACCACCTTATCCCCAGAACATGTCAAACACACTCCATTTCAGACTGCATTTGCTATTTGCCTGGAATGCTTGCTCTCAAGTATATTACAAAGGCTTTCCTAGACAACACTGTAAAAACCAGTCCTTTCTCCATTGAATAGTTCTCCATAATTTAACAGCCTACCCCCCAGAGGCCACTAGCATGTCTGTACTACGTATCAATGACAAAATATATACCTTCTAATGTACACAAAGTGCACACCACTGAGAGTAACTAGAAGATATAAAATTAGCTTTCTTAGCCAACTATCTGAACTCTTCACTTCCTATCCAATCTTTGCATTGCTATTCTTGTCCTTCCAGCTTTTCCATGGCTAGCTCACTAACTCATTTCCGTTCAGGTGTTACAAGACCTCTACCACTACTCGAGTTGTCCTCATCTCTGACTACTAGGGGGAAGATTGTCTGGCACTTGATGTTTAATGTCAGAAATGAGAATGCTTAAATTCTGTGCCACCAGTTGCCAGTATTTGGTTTGCTTCACCAGTGGGCCTTGTCAATCCAATTAACACGTCTCAAATTGTGATCCACACATCTTTGAAGTCACTAGGGCAAATTCCAGATTGCCAAATCACTGGATTTATCCTAGGCTCATGTCATAGGGCCAGGTTTAAAAAAAAAATCACTGGCTCAGCTTTAGTTTTAACCTAAGGCAAAGGTGTAGGGGAATAATTTCCCAGCTTCTCTTGAACTTGCATTTTACATTTTTCTTTGGAGTAAAACAGGCTTTCCAATTGTTGACAAGGTAACTTCTGAACTGTAAAAACTGCATGCTTTTTCACTGTATTCCCCCATTCAATCATGGGGGCCATAATCAGAAAGGATAAGACCTTTCTTCTTGCATCTGCACTGCAACCTTAACAGACAGTAACTGCTCCAGATCAGATGCATTTTCATCCCAAACCCAGCCTTATTCACATACAATGATGCAAGTTCCCTTTTCCTCTGCTCATCAGCCAAGCCACATTCCATCTAAAACCTCACCTTTAAAAGTAGGGGCAGCAAACCTTTCCTACAGATGTCCACACATTTTTTAGGCCACATAGGTCTGTCATCTTTGCTCTTGCAGTGCCCAAAGCCATCTATTAACAAGTGATCATGGCAATGTCCTGATAAAGCTGAACACCAAATTCGACTTCATATCCTATAAGCTACTGACTTTTCCCATTATAAACAGCCACCTTAAAGTCACACAAAATTTGCCAACCCCATTTCATGAAATCTGACAAAAGCTTGCAACAGTTCCAGGAGACCTAGATTTCTATAGACCTTGGTTCTAACTTGACATGATAAATAAGCTCAGACAATCCTTTGCTTCGGGCTGTATTAGTCTCTTTATTCTTTTGGTAATCTCTTCCAGTTAACTACTTGTTTGTAGGTGATGAAATGTCTAAGGAATCCACTTCAAATGTTGATTCTGATGTGAGCATGGTCTTTCCCTTTACTTCAACTCAGAATTAAGACTTTTGATTCTTGTTTTTTTTTCCTTCAGTCTCAGTAGTAGTTTCCACTGTAGAAGTTATCTGAAGACAGTCTATATGCCTTATAGTAGTGGTTTACAACCAGGCTCTAGCTTCTCCAGGAACACTATACAGGATAGATTTTAAAATGTATTAAACTAAGAAGCATTCTCTCAAATGAATTTAAATGCATTTTATTTTTAGACAACCTACATGACATCTTTTCTTAAAAACAATGCCTCCGCTCCAAATGAATCAAGGTCAAAATAAATGAAGAGCTCAAGATAACATCAGTCCCATTTGTCCTAGTCTTGGTGTGTGGATGAAAAGCAGCAGCCAGTTACGATGACAGGTGATGGAGCCAAACTGCCCAATTTGTTACTGTAAAAACAAGGAAAATTACATTAGCACCTTTTTCCAATATGAAAGCACTTAACATTTCTAGCCTGCAGATGTAGTCCCTTATTCAATCTGGGCCGCCACAAAGACAGACAGAAAGCGCAGGGATATTTTTCTTTCGCATCCCAGTGCAAACCAAAAGAACAACAGGTTGTTCAAGGTCTATCAGTGGATGCAGAACCATCCTTACCAAATCAGAAGTACCATAGTTTTCAGAAAAGACATATTTTTAATAAAGTCCCACTCACACACTGTTTTACCTACAAAAACCTCAGATATTCTGAATAATTCCTGTGGCCAGTCTGCTCTAAGATGCTGTATTGTTGCCTCTAAACTTGTTTAGTGTAGCTTTAACTTTACCTTGTTCCTAATTTATCTCAATGTGAAGATAATCATAATGAATGCCCTCACTTCTGTATTGTTTCCTGAAGCTCCTTGCATAGCATTCATTTAATTAATTTTACTAAATCAATTTGCATATCAGAATTTACTGAAAGCTAATAACATCAATACTTTCAATGATTAACTGTCAATTATCAGCAAACTCAAATTAAAAGAATTTTGATATATTAAGTTTTCTGTAGATGATAAAGATTCTACACCATAAAATTCTTTCATATAAAGTCTTTAGATCCCTGAAGAGAAACAAGACATGTTCCCATATTTTAAAAGGACTGCTATAGCCCTAGCCAATTTGGCTCAGTGGATTCGGCCCCTGGAAGGATCCTGGGTTCGATTCTGGTGCATCTGCAGGAGGCAACCAATTGATGCGTCTGTCTGTCTCACTCAGATGTTTCTCTGTCTCTCCCACTCCCTTCCATTCTAAAAATCAATGGAAAAATATCCTTTGGTGAGGACCAAACAAAATAAATAAACTTAGTGTTAAAAAAAAATAAATAAATAAAAGGAACGCTACAGAATCCACTCTAACTCAGTGGCATGAAATAAGAATCACACAGAAAATGTCTCCATTTTTACATGATTTTGACCCACTTCTATATACTTACACATTTTTCCATTTCTAAACCATCCTTAAAGAAAATCATATATGGGGTCACACCATCCTCACGGTAGTCCAGCAGAGCAACCATGCCATCTGGATTCATGTTTTCACCAATAAAGAACTTAGGAAGCAAAAAACAAACATCTAGAATTAGACCATTATATATAGATGTGCCTTATCAAAAACTGAAATGACCCACAACACCATGAGAAGTTCAGCAACCAAGGCTCAGATACCTATGAAGAAAATGCTCACTAATCAAACATCTGGTCACCTGACTAAAGCACTAATACAGAGAAATACAGGAATACTTTAGGTTTTCTGGTAACTTACTCTCTCACATTACTTTGTATGTACAAACATACAAATTTCAAACCCTACAAGCCCGTTTACAAAGTCAAGCACAGACCATAATGCTGCCAATGAGAGAGCACATCATATGGGGACAGAATCTTAAGGTCAGTGTGTGTGTGTGTGTTTCAAAGCCAGGAAAATCAAACAACCAGATTCCTAAGTCTTAGAAGGGAAGTCACTGAAGTCCCCCAATACAGACAAAGCTCCAGTTGCAATGAAACCCACCGAATTTTAAAGAGAAAATTGGAAGATCATCTAGGACAGCGGTTCTCAACTCCTCTGGGGGTCGAACGACCCTTTCACAGGGGCCGCCTAAGACCATCGGAACCACTAATCTAGGAGGTTAACAAGCAATTTATGAAAGAAAGAAATATCTGGGTAGGAATGAGATTCTGAAATCAGAAGACAAGATCTGGAAACATACTTGGGGAATAGGGAAAGCTTTTTTCTACATCCTATGCTATTGGAATTGAATCTATGAAGTATTCAAACTGCTCAAAAGCCCACAATTTAACTACAAAGACTTGCATCAAATAACTAGTTTTAAGCCCTTACAGTTAAAACTGTATAATCCTTTCACCCAAATATTTAAGGCATCTATTTACCTGGTAGTTTTTGAAATTGGCAAGGATGTGCTTGATTTGTTCTGCAGCCCCTGTCATAAAAGGCTTTACTCTTTCTGGTCTCTGTTCTTCAAGCTTCCCTTTGATTCTAAAACAATATTTCAATAATAGGTTAAATTACTGACTTCTGAGCAAAATAACTTGAAAGTAAATCCAAAAAAGAAAAACAAAAAAACACCAAGAACAGCAAAGTAACTAGTTCACTGGACATGTCAAAACTGTACTATTCTAAAAAGCTAAAACCACAACACTTGCTTCAGAATGCTCAGTTAGTTTACTTGTATGGGTGAATTTGGGAGCCACCAATGTCTCTCTCCAACCATTTACGTTTCCTTCTTCCTTCCTCCCATAACACCTCCCCACACCTATAAGTATGCCTGCTTCTGAAGAATCTCAGTTAGCCAATCCATGCCCTGCCGGTGTGGGTCAGTGGCTGAGCATCAACCTAAGGATCTGTGGTTTAATGCCCAGGTTGCCTGCTCCATCCCCAGTAGAGGCTGTGGAGACAGCCAATCAATGATTCTCTCTTACCATTAATGTTTCTCTTTCTCCCTTCCTCTCTGAAGTCAATAAAAATATGTTTACAGAAATGTTTCCCAACCCCTAAATCCTGTAAGATTCCAGACATTCGCTGGGTGTGCTAGTACCACTTACGATTTCATGTAATCTTTGATGTACTTCTTGTAGGCTTCTTTTGTGAAGCTGGTTTCCTGCAAGTGATGGTTCATGACAATGTCAACACCAGTGACTACTGTGCTTTCGGTACCTTCGCCCTCAGGGCCTTCAGCGGAGGCATTTCCACCAATAAGCGAGTCATCAATGTTACCCTCTGTCCTACTGACCATCTGCACAAGAAATAATAGTTTAGTTGCAAAAGGCATTCTTGATCGTGAACGCATCCAAAAAGTTTTATATACCAGCAGTTCATGTATCCATCACCCTCCCACCAGATGTTCTTGGTTCTTGCTGAAAACCACGAAAACATTTTGGGGGGAAATTATGACCCCTCCATTCCTGAAACACCTTAACTCCAGAACTTTGTTGGCTGGAATGAAAATGGGGTTATTACAACCAAGTGGAAGTTTTCTGTGGGTTCCCAAGGTGAGGATCTAGTAAAGGGCAAGCACTAAAGGGCTTGGTGCTCCCAAACCGCAGACCACCTGCCCCGGGCAGGCCGTGGGGCGAATGGGCGCCCAGGCGGCGTACCTATTTCTATTTCCAGGCTCAGCTCCGCCTCCACTTTTCTAGAAAAACCCGAGCCCGGAAAGAGTCTCCTCCGCCAGGAGGCAGAGCAGAGAATTGCGCAATCTCGGGCGGGGGGAGCGGCGGAAACCCGAGACTGCCCAGACTCGCCTCCCTGTTGCGCGGCCCGAAAACTACCTTCCCCTCTACCTCAGGAAAAGCAGGCCGCGATCTCCGATTTTGTAGATGTCGGAGAACATCTCATCATCTGCTCGGGCACACAAACCGCCGCCACGATGCGCCCGGAAGGCCCGGCGCCATCTCCCCGCTGCGGGCCGCACGCGGTCCGCACCTCCCCGGCGCTCCAACCCAGCGCGCGCCCCAGGCGCCGACCCTCCCCGCCCCTAGGGAGGCCGCCGGCAGCCGCTAGGCCCGAGACAGCAGCGGCGCCCGCCTCCCCCGCCCCCACCCCCCGCGCGGCAGTAGGGGGAAGCAGGCACGACTCACGGCTGATGAGGTCCCGGTAGATGATCATGATGGCGGCTGGAAGGAGACGGAGGCGCTGCCTGAGCAGGAGCACGGAGCTCGGC